CCCAAGGGACAACTGCTTGAGGCCGGTCGCGCTCGGCCTTTTTGTGTAAGGTTTTTGACGTGTTAGCTCCGTTCTTCAAAGGGCCTTACCGCCGGAGACGGAAATCCGTGAGGTAAGGTGAGGTGTGACATTTTTAGGGTCGACCTTTTCTAACCCCACCCCTCCTTGTGGGAAGGCAGCATCGCTGTCATGCTGGTTGTCCGAGGGAAACACCTTACTGCCGTCACACCTCTCTACAGTCAGCAGTACGACTTCGCCCTCAGACCTTGAGTTGCTGCTTTTAGTCTTACCGTTCACCAATCGACCTGCCTGGCATGGTAGAACCTGCAGGAACATATGTTCCAGCCAATATAGCTCGGTTGGGTCATCACGATAGGCAAGCCCGACCACCGCGTCAAGGTAGCAGCTTCGATCGGGAGTGACTTTACCTGGGAACTGCTGTCAACGAACCCGTAATCATGTCTCCGATTTCGAGATAGTGACGGGTTTTTTTAGAAATATAAGTCATCCTAAACCACTAGATCGTACTCATAAGGCTGTATTTTTCAAAGGCTTTCAGTAAACAGGATGATATTACCTACATACTGGACGTCAATCACGGAAATTGCATTGAGATACTAAGTTTTTATGGGACAGACGGATAAACTACTACCTCTAGAAGCTGAATAAACGCGTGGAAAATTGAAAAGCTTGAAAAACTTTATTCATAAGTTTGTCATTCTGGAAGTTTTTTTGTCTTTGTATAAGACGTCTGTAATACTGATTTTAACGATTTTCGGACTTTCAGTGTGCTAGGACTCGGTAACTGTGGATATGTAAGGCGATATAAAGGGTGAAAGTTACCAAAAGGTGAATCCAAGAACATAAACCATTGGGTATTCAAATGTTAACAGAGAGTTGTGGTTCTACATACTTGCGCAAAAGACTTTCAGAACAGATAATGATTTATGAATCCGGTGTCCATCTTGTTGTTTTAATGAGGTATGGCAACTTGGACCGATGCATATATGTGCCTGGTCCTACGTTGTAACTGACTGACTGACTGAATGGCTTATGTGTTTCTAATAAGACTGCCAGAAAGTATGAAGTGTACTATATTCAAGAAGTTACAAAAGGTGACCATTGAATGAAATTTTTGGAGCATTTTGAGTTTATACAGAGGGCATTTACACCAAGTTGGTCGCCAAAGTAAAAATAAATTAATTTAAAATGTGCTGTTATTGTAGAACATTTTGGCTGTTCGTTCTACATTTTGTTGATAGGCTTGTTGTGTTCCAGTCCAAAACACAATTCGAGTAAGCTAAAGATCCGTCAAAGAATAAAACGTATAACATCAAAGTTATTAATTTGCTATACATGTGGATTAAGTGTAATGTGTAAGTGAGTGGGAATCGACGTCCTACTTCCTAGCTCATGGTTCTGATAGAATTCTATCGATCTAATCTGTAATCAAAAAGACCACAAAAACTACATCTATAGATTTTTGTAAATTTAAGATGATTCATGTAGAAATTACTTGAAATGGCGTATATATCCGAATGACTGAACGTTACACTATTTTATAGGGCAGAAAGGATATTCACCACTGATAAACTGGAAGAATTGATGAATGTGGAAAAATGCCGACGAGACAACTTTTACACACAAAATTATCTTAATATATATATATATATTTATCCCTTTCTTTAAACTCTTTTTTGCATTTATTACATCATTGGGTTTTATTCCAAATATCTGCCAAATTAATAATCTTATTTTATCAACTGAACTCTACTCATTTTATTCTTATCAATGTTTACTAGCCGTTTGAACTGTTGTCACAATGTTCTCTTACATAAGGTATATATTTACATTATTCAGTCTATTAAATTTATTTACACGCTTGCTATTCTGCTAGAATGTTTGTTCTTGCTCTTTTCAAAATGATAAAGGGAACTATGTGTATGAAATAAAACACTTACTTCAACAAACTGTGAAGTGAAATGATTACAATTGAAATGTAGTAAATGGTAAGCGTCACCACGGAATTCATCAGCCAAACTAGCAAGTAAACGTTCTACAGCTTTTTTTGATAAATACGTCCGACCCATATATAATCTTTCTCTGAATCAATAGAAAAAATAAAACAATATTTTATGCGGAATGATATTTTTGAAGTTATTAAACGAATCATTCGGTGTAATTTGGTTTTACGTTTGACTTACGTTTATACAACATTATTATACACATATTAAAATAATAAAAACGATTGGGGATGAACTCTACATTGTCAAGTCATTTAAGTGTATCTCAGTCAGTATATGGGGCCAAGTTTTCGTTTATTTAATCACTTATTGTAGATATTTTGGAATAATTTCTACCATAAAATTAATCGGTGTGTGTGAATTACGATAGCGCAAATAATAATTCCCACCTCATTTTGATTGATTGCCAGGCGCAAGGTCAAAATGTAAAACGACAGTGGAGTTTATCCCCATTCAGAAAAACACTGTTGTTAGGTATTCTTTCCCAAATTATGTGAAGTAATAACGTTGTGGGCATTTGATCCCTATTTAAGTTTCTACAGACATGGTGCAAGCGGCCCTTGGTTTAACGAATGAATCATCAGATTTCTAAATTGTCATATGTAATTCACTACATAACTTGATATTTTACCAAATGACTATTTAATCATTATTATAATTATCCAATCATCAAAAAGATCTCTAATAAACAAACATAGTTGTCATTCATAACTGTCAAAATTAAATAGTTTTTAATGGTGTGATTGGTAATGTAACTTGCTTGGAAAAGACAAACTTAAGTACTCTGAGCCACATTGATGATATTATTCGGATGTCTAAGTAGAATTAGGTGGAGCAGGGATTGAACTTAGAATCTATTGGTTGAGACCTAAAGACTTTAATTATTAAGCCGCAGTGTTTTCAGTGGTAAAAATGAGTTGATTATTTCCATCTGAAATTCTCATACCTTGCTGAAGATAAGTGTTAAATGTATGCTACAGAGAACAGATATACATTTGGGCGAATCATTTATAGAATATATATTTGAGATAGTCTATAGGTAAAATTGTTTACACAGCATTATGGTATAGGATTGACAGTTAAAAGCTAAAAGGAATCACACAATACAAAATGAGAGAATATGTAAAACGTGACTTCACTATAAATTGTCAATAACACAAAAGATTCATTTGAATGAATCATTATGTCTTCTAGAAGATTTACAGATTTAAAAGAGGATCGGTGAGTAATACGAATAGTAAGCTTACAACTGTCAAAATGATGATTAGAAGAATGTGATATTATATTCTAAAGCATAACATCTGATCACGATTTAAAAACACTTAAAATGAAAAGTCTAGATTAGTTATAAGAATGAAAACTGATCAAGTGGTTTGAACGGAAATTTATGCATAAGAATTAACAAAAAGAATGATCATTTGATCAAATCAGCCCCGTTGAAAATATACGATATTCACTTTCAACTGAGTACTGGAAGATACAAAATAATTACTAGTTTATGGATTGAATTAATTCACGGACATGAGAATAGTAATACCGATTCAAGTCATTATATTTTGTATCGATATACTATGAAGGTATGGACAAAGTAATACAACGCATGCTCAGAATGAGAAGTGAAAGATTCATCCAAAGAAATATTTTATCATTAAATAGAATTAATTAAATTAATATCAACAATTTATAAAGTTTAGACAGTCATTAAAATGTTTATTGAGACGTTCGTCCAATGTTGACTCACTTTAACAACCACGAAAACTCATGTAGTACTGACGAGTTTAAAACTAACGTAAAGCGATTTGTTTAGGATATAAGATAGCTCAGAGTTGATAAGCCTGGTAGTATGCACTTTGCATTTTTTTTATTCGAAAGTATGATCAAAAAGGTAGGGAAAGAACAAGCATACGTTCTATTACAAAGCAAAATACTTAGTGTCTAAGGCATGAAACTTCCGGCCATTAAGTCCCAGGTTCGAACCCCATTGTGCTTACTTTGGTTTGAGGGACTGAACATTACGATTAGCCATCACACTAAGAGTATCCCTCATGAACAAGTATGCGGCGAATGATTTAAATTATTTATTTCAAAGTTCTAAAAGCAGATGTGAAGGACGGATATTTTGTTAGCAAATAAGCGATCCTAGGAATAGCAGAGGCGCATAACTAAACTCAGTTCATACCTTGCTTGAATGGGGTTATAGAGGTTGAGAAACTAAATGCCTGGAGACATCAATAGACAACACTTAAAATCGATTTCACTGGCAACCAGACCGATTATTTCTGGACTTATATATGATCAGGTAACATGAAAATAGAGAAACGAACTCGGTTCTGCTACTACTCTTTTTCGATCATTTGTCTTTCAAAACTTTGTTAGTGATATAATTTTCTGTCTTATTAACATAGTCACTTTGATTTAAATCATGCATTTGTTGTCCCACAATTGTAGAAAAACGTTATATGTTAACAAAATATTTGATGAAAAGTCAAAAACATTTAGTTCAACTAAGACTTACTTGAATGAAATTTCTTCACCTAAACTATCAATATCCATTGGTGTAGTCTGAAAGATACCACTACTTGCAAATGGATGTCCACCAAAACCGAATTCTAAATGGAAAGATAAAAACAACATTTAAAATTCCATTATAAAACTGCCACTTACCTCTATCGTATACTACAGTTCCAGTATGATAAGCACCCATTTTTAAACCATTAGGCCAATGCTAGGTGAAAGAATGTATATTTTAAAAGTAAAATATAATACTCACCAAATGATATACATTTACATACACAGGTTCACCAAAATTCTTAAAATTTCTAGTTAATTCATTCCCAACAGAAGGTGCAAATGATTCAGATTTATTATGAAGCATTGAAAATAAAGATCTTTTTCAAAGCAAAGTATTATCGTAAAAATTAACGAGATGAAAATAATCAACTGAAGCTAATAATTAATCGTATGCTATTTGAGTATTTATAATGAAAGTAACCATATGTCAATCAACAAGTAGGTTGCATTTCGTATATAATTTGTGAATGTAGGATTTGAATAAATTTGACTGTTATGGTTATTGGTATGCATAAACACTACAAGATTTTCTGAACAAAAATAATAAAAAAGGCATTAATTATAAATAAAACTAAGAAACGATGAAATAACAATGAAACAGTTCATTATGTGTGAAATTTCGTGGTATATGTATTGGAAGATTAATTTATAATCACTATAGAATTCAATGTGATATTCAGACAGGCAGTCATGAGCAACATCGAAATTAGCATATTTTACATCGACTCAACTCCGCCTGAAGTCCCTCCGGGGGCTACTGCCGGTCTCAAGCCCGAATAAAGGAGCGGGGTTGGGCATGGAGTTAGCGTCCCCATCCCGTAGAAAACTAACTCGCTAAAAAACGCTAACCAGAAAAACTTATTCAAACTTTTTAAACTCTGCCCTGGGAGTCAGAAGGTCTTCATTTAGAAGAACTATGACGCCTCATGATGAAAGCCGAATTCCTTCGGAAATTACGAGGCCGATGCCCCTTCTGACAACCAGAGTGACCATTTATTTAGGTACATAGAATGTTCGTACAATGTGGGACACCGGGAGAGCCTTCCAAATTGCTGCAGAAATGAGAAGATACAACCTAGAGGTGCTCGGGATCAGTGAAACACATTGGACACAAGTTGGACAACAATGACTAACTTCAGGAGAACTCCTGTTATACTCCGGCCATGAAGAAAATGCTCCACATACACAAGGAGTTGCATTGATGCTGTCCAAACAAGCACAAAATGCACTTATATGATGGGAATCTCATGGACCAAGGATCATCAAAGCCTCCTTCAAAACAAGGAAAGAGGGCATTACAATGAACCTCATCCAATGCTATGCGCCTACCAACGACCACAATGAAGACGCTAAAGATCAATTATAAAATAGGCTGCAGTCAATCATCGAGAAGTGCCCAACAAAGGACTTGACCATGCTGATGGGAGATTTCAATGCCAAGATTGGAACAGACAACACTGGATATGAAGACATCATGGGACGACACGGACTGGGAGAAAGAAATGAAAATGGTGAGAGATTTGCAAATCTATGTGCCTTCAATAAACTGGTCATAGGCGGCACCATATTCCTGCATGAATGCATACACAAAACCACATGTACTTCATCGGATCACACCACGCAAAACCAAACCGACCATATTTGCATCAACAAAACGTTCAAGAGGACTATAGAGGACGTGAGAACCAAGAGAGGAGCTGATGTAGCATCAGATCATCACTTGCTGATCGCCAAGATGAAATTGAAACTTAAGAAGCACTGGACAATGGGGCGGACAATATCACAAAAGTTCAATACGGCCTTTCTTCAGGATACTAACAAACTCAACGAATTCAAGATAGTCCTCAGCAACAAGTTCCAGGCCTTTCATGATCTACTCAATGGAGAAGGAACTACTATGGAGAGCAACTGGAAGGGGATCAAAGAGGCAATCACTTCAACATGTCATGAGGTCCTGGGTCACAAGAAGCACCATCACAAGCAATGGATCACTGTTGATACACTGGATAAGATTCAAGAAAGGAGGAACAAGAAGGCAGCAATCAATACCAGTCGAACAAGAGCAGAAAAAGCCAAGGCACAAGCTGAATACACAGAAGTAAACAAACAAGTAAAGAAGAGCATCAGAACCGACAAACGTAAATATGTGGAAGATTTAGCAACGACGGCGGAAAAGGCTGCAAGAGAAGGAAACATGAGACAACTGTATGACACGACAAAGAAGCTGGCTGGAAATCGCCGCAAACCAGAACGACCAGTGAAAAGCAAGGAAGGTGAGGTAATCATCAACATTGAAGAGCAACAAAACAGGTGGGTAGAACACTTAAAACAACTCTTGAATCGACCAGCTCCACTGAACCCACCCAACATCGAAGCAGCACCCACGAACCTCCCAATCAATGTTGGCCCACGAACAATTGAAGAAATCAGCATGGCCATCAGACAAATCAAGAGTGGCAAAGCAGCAGGACCAGACAACATTCCAGCAGAGGCACTGAAAGCAGACGTAGCGGCAACTGCAAGGATACTCCACATTCTCTTCAATAAGATATGGGATGAGGAACAAGTACCAACAGACTGGAAAGAAGTACTCCTGATCAAAATACCGAAGAAAGGCGATCTCAGCAAGTGTGATAACTACAGGGGGATCACTCTTCTCTCAATACCGGGAAAAGTCTTCAACAGGGTATTGTTAAACATAATGAAGGACTGCGTAAACGCCCAATTTCGTGACCAACAGGCAGGATTCCGTAAGGATAGATCGTATACAGACCAAATCGCAACTCTACGGATCATTGTGGAACAATCAATTGAATGGAATTCATCACTCTACATCAACTTGATTGACTACGAAAAAGCATTTGACAGCGTGGACAGAACAACACTATAGAAGCTTCTTCGACACTACGGCGTGCTTCAGAAGATAGTCAATATCATACAGAGTTCATATGATGGATTACACTGCAAAATCGTGCATGGAGGACAGTTGACAAAGTCGTTCGAAGTGAAGACCGGTGTCAGGCAAGGTTGCTTACTCTCACCTTTTCTCTTTTTCCTGGTGATCGACTGGATCATGAAAACCTCAACATCTGGGGAGAAGCACAGGATACAGTGGACAGGTAGGATGCAGCTGGACGATCTAAACTTCACAGATGATCTAGCTCTTCTATCGCACACGCAACAACAAACGCAGTAGAGGACGATCAGTGTAGCAGCAATAGGTCTCAACATACATAAAGGGAAAAACAAGATTGTCCGATACAACACATCATGCGACAATTGAATCACACTTGACGGAGAAGACTTGGAATATGTAATAACCTTTACATATTTGGGCACCATCATTGATGAACACAGTGGATATGATGCAGATGTGAAAGCGCGGATCGGTAAAGCAAGAACAGCATATTTACAACTGAAGAACATCTGGGACTCAAAGCAACTGTCAACCAACACCAAGGTCAGGATTTTCAATACAAATGTCAAGACAGTTCTACTGTATGGGGCAGAAACCTGGAGAACTACGAAATCCATCATCCAAAAAATACAGGTGTTTATTAACAGTTGTCTACGCAAAATACTTCAGATCCGTTGGCCGGACACTATTAGCAACAACGTACTGTGGGAGAGAACAAACCAGATCCTAGCGGAGGGAGAAATCAAAAAGAAGCGCTGGAAACGGATAGGACACATATTGAGGAAAGCACTCCACTGCGTCACAACGTATGCCCTCACTTGGAATGCTCAGGGCCAAAGGAAAAGAGGAAGACCAAAGAACACAATACGCCGGGAAATGGAGATAGACATGAGGAGAATGAAAAAAAAATTGGATGTAATTAGAAAAGAAGGCCCAGGACAGAGTGGGTTGGAGAATGCTGGTCGGCGGCCTATGCTCTATTGGGAGTAACAGGCGTAAGCTAAGTAAGGTACATCGACTCAAATTGACACATTATACCAACATAGAAAGAAATCGTCAAGACAAATGCTAGAGTGATAGAATTATTAACAGTATCATTGGTAGTCGAAAACATTAAATATTGACGGCATAAGTCAGGGAAAATAGAATTGAGAAGTGAAAAGTATAAGATAATTCTAAAGCTGAAGAAAGAAGAAGAATGAAAGCTGTGTCATCCAGAGTTCCCAATTATTGTTTACGACAATAGCAAGAAACTCAACGAGTAAGTCTGTACTTACCAGGATGACACAATTCAACAGTTAATGACTTCATGGACTGATACCAATTTTTGGTTTGACCACCCTTAAAACCATAATTATCGTACGACGGACTGTGAATAGATTTACGTAGAATATGCCTCGACTGCTTCCGCCAAAAACCTCACAATCTCACAGAAAACTTACTTAAACCCTTGCATATTACCTCTAAACTGCACACTCTGTACGTTAAAAAAACGCTAGCAGTGCTTTGACGAATTGTAAGATCAAAAAGCTGTAGTCTGCGCATGACATTTAATTTAATAGACCATGTTTCAGTTATACCCACAGCTTCGTTGGCAGACGGATCAAGTGATCTAAACTGGCAAACTAAAAACAAGCTTTTTGAATTTTCATCAAACAACCTAAAAGAACTGATGCGACTTCTGAGGTAAGTGAAGTGGTCGATGCAATTAAATACTTCGCTCCTTAAACTCAGTTTTTTCGTTGACATGCACCAATCATCTAGCAACAGTTTACATTTGAATGAAAAGAAAACCATCCCATACCTGTTTGTATTATTACACAAGGCTCACAGAACACTCTAAATCATGTCAGGACCTTCATCAAAAAGAACTGTTATTTCGTACTCTAAGTTGAAAACTATATCTCTTATCAGATTAATCAATCATTGGGAAGTCCAACAAATAAGGAATTATTTCTGAAACTATGTCTATGATGAAGTCAGATAAGAGTGGGGATACTGTGTAGCTTTGACAAACACTACTTGATGTTTCCAATCATGATGTTGGTTAGCCATAAGCCTCAACTGCCAAAAGTGGACAACTATCTTCAAAAGCTCTACTGCTCCCACACGCTTCAAGTTAAATATAGTCTTTCTGACCGAGCTGAGAGACTTGTGGCAATCTCTGATTCAACCTGGATACGAATAGAGGGTAAATGAAGAGTACCTAGAAGCCGATTGAACTGAACCTCTTATCTCCTAGACTGGAAATGAAACATCGTTTCATGTTCTTCCGAAATAAACTTACTGACAGACAACTTATTGATGAATATTCACTTGGAGAGTATGAAAAATTATCTACTGTTACCTGACGCCGCTTCTGGTTGGTCACATCCAGAGTGCGTCTTCCACTTTGAATAACTTTGGTCTAATCAGTCAGTCAGTTATCTACAACGTAGGACCAGGCACATATATGAATCGGTCCAAGTTGCCATATCTCATTAGCACAACATGACGAACACCAACTCAACAGAAGTAGTTACTTCAATGGTAGTAATATATAAAAGATTGTGCATATGGATGTAGTACATCAAGAAAGAATTAGTTGGTAGAAAGATATAAAGCGATTTTTAT